AGTTATCCAATTAGTGTAACCAAGTCCCCGAACTCAGTTAATCTCTGGTTCGCAGGAATAGGGTGATTCTCCCATCACCCTATTTGGATTTCTAATCGGCCCACCCCAAATCGATTAGTAGCGACTCCTTGATATAAACCACCTGCATGTTAAAAAACTTAAACCCTAAGTCGCGATATGGTTTGGGCTTGGGAGAGCCCGAGTTAAGTCCCAAATCTAGACTTAGCACGTACCAGGCGAGCCCCCCCCCCTTTTTTGGTTGTTCGATAAAAGAGGGCTCGGGAGTTCGGTCGCGACACCCATTGTCTCGCAGATTAAATTAGAAATTACCGCAAGGGAAAATATCACCAAAAATCCAAACTATGCCACTTGTGACAAATTTACCCTTAACTTTTTTTTGTAACACGAAAAATCTCAAACTATGACACTTGTGACAAATTTACCCTGTATTTTTTTTGTGACACAAAAAACCCCAAACTATGCCACTTGTGATATATTTACCCCATAATACTTTGGTCCATGGGCATTTTCGTCTTTTTCCTTTTCTGTTTTTTTTTCCTTAGGCGAGGGCTACCCTCGTCGGCTTCCCTCCGCCATGGCCGGCGGAGGGAAGAGAGAGAAGAAAAGGAAAAAAAAATAGAAAAGGAAAAAGACGAAAATACCCATGGGCCAAAGTATTGTGGGGTAAATGTGTTACAAGTGGCATAGTTTGGGGTTTTTCATGTCACAAAAAAAAGTTCAGAGTAAATTTGTCACAAGTGGCATAGTTTGGGATTTTTTGTGTCACAAAAAAAAATTCATGGTAAATTTGTCACAAGTGACATAGTTTTGGGTTTTTGGTGGTATTTTCCCTTATCGCAATCTTTAAGCACAACAATTACTCAAATATTAAGTCGAATTAATTAAAAGAAATGATCCGAAATCTTTACGGATCAAATTAGTAATTATATCGACTCAATCAATGGCACTAATTGGATAATGCCTAATATCTCAATCAAATCAATTAGATAACAAAATCTATCCGAATTAAGCAATTAAATAATTTATATCAAATCGGATAAGATCATTACCTAATTTGGACACGCATAATCTTATCGGAATCGGACCAGATCACAGCTTGCAGATGAGGCTCGGAGGATGGCCGGCGGTGTATGGTGCTCGTCGTTGCTCGTCGATGGCCTGGCTCGTAGAGACTCGCAAATAGCGACTCGAATATTCTGAACAGCCTACAAAACAGAAAACCCAACGCCTCGGCTTGGTGAGCGTCCGACGAAGACTTGGCAGGAATTGAAGCGGTGCAAGACTCCTGGTGCAGGTCACGCCAGGGGAGTCACGGCTTGATGTGGCTGAACGCGGTGCTGCAAAAGGATCGTTGCTCGCTGGAAGTTCTCCTGGAACCAAGTTACCGAGTTCGTGATTGGAGCTTGTCGAGCGTGACTAAGACTCGCTGGAAAACGTGGTGTCTCGGTAGAGCTACGAGAGGAGCGAGGAAGGAGCGACAGAATGTGGCAAAGCATGACAAAGTGGTAGCAGTGCAGGAGCTAATACGATCGTGGCAACGATGGAGCACTGTCAGAACCGTTGCTATGCAAGCAAATAGAGAGAATTTTTGCTTTTTCCTCCTCCTTAGCTCTTTCTCTGTTCGGTGGAGACCCCTCTTGGCATCTTCTTCAATGTGTTGAACGCGCCTTGTGTCCACCTGTAGGGAAAAGCCAAAAACTCCTCTCTCTTGGGTCTGTTGTGATGAAGAGGTCCTCGTGAGTAATGGACATTGCGGAAAGAGAGCTCCCTCACGAACGTTCGCTCCTTTTTCTCTCAATGGTCGCGTATCAATTTTTGTGGCCGTGTATTCAATATTATGCGTGGCCTCCCTTTTTGCATGTAAAAGTCCACAGAATTTATACTTCTTCACTCACCGACTCCTTGCTGGACGAGTGTACATTTTCCTTCCTTTTTTTCTTTCCATCAAATATTCTCTCCAAGCTTGGCAAACACCCAATGAATTTTGGCCATGATAATTAATGGGCTAGGTCAAATTTTCATCGACTTAACTCAATTAAGCTCAAAACCATAGACTACCGGTCCAACTATTTAACTACTAATGCAAATGCGATTTAACTAATATTTTTTTAGGGACCGAGGTCGATCCCTAATTTTCTATGCAATATATGACTAATTAGGTCGCCAAAATTTAGGTGTCAACAGAGCACCTAGAGAAAACAGTTGAGAATTATTAAAATGGAGGGAGAAGCAGGATAGCAATAATAAGGGAGAGTGGGAGAAACCAAACGTAGATATCTTTGTTGGGTGACCGGCAAACCTACTTTCCTGATCAAATCTACATTAGAAAAGTTAATATTATCACCTGAAATTCTAATCAAATACTAGCATATCGTGAATATAACAAAGTTGAACTAAAGTGTAATCTGAATGTAGATATTCTGCATCAATATGGGAAAGTCGAGAGGCTCGAACATCAGTGACCCAGCAATATTTAGAAGGAATTTGATCTATTAAGGTAGCTGGAGTGGTTAGTAGTAGTAATAATAATAATAACAATGATGATAATAGGAAGCAGAAGATGTTCTAAAATGCAATGTTGTCAAGTGTGAAAACTATATTGGATGGTCGATTACTTTGTGTCAAAAACAATAATTTTAAATTCCAACTGTCCCAGATGGATATAGCTCGCTTAGCGTCTTACATACATAGTTATGAGATCCGTATGGTGAACCACACTTGCATTCAAATCTCTCGCCCAACCACCACGACTAGCATATATGTGCTGGTCAAAAACCCACGTGCCATATATATTTATTTCACCAAGGATATAAATATATTATTGAAAGAAGGAATACATACTGCTGATTAAGGAAACGATAGGTACTATGTGGAGGATAACATTTTCCGCTTGACGAGTAGGACCTTCTTTGAGGTTTTTCTTCCACTTTTGAAACGCTGGATCTGATTAAGCGTGTGATAATGTAGCAGGTCACAAGAATACTAGACAAATAGAAGTACCCTTGCACACGAATTTGAAAGCACAAGAATTATATGACAGATTGAGTATCTCGGGAAATGTTGCGACACCTCAATCTCACAATATATGGATTGAGGGAGAGAGCCTATGACTAGACATTTAAGTAAAGACCCTAAACGAATTCTTATATTTGACTACCAAAGGAATTTGGCGCATGTCAATCGAGATCATTATCAAGGATCCTACACAGCAGCAGAAAAGACATGGATCAAGTAACGAAAATGATCAAGGGTCTGATTATGACAGGGTGAAATCAGTCAGACTTTGACCCGGATGTACAATTCCCTCTTGTAGATCATAATTACAGCCCCTATCACTGTGTCTTATTAGAATGGAGTTGCGATTAATGCACTTTTGTGGCACATATCATTGCTCATTAATTAAGTGCGACATGGACAAAATGCTAGACCATGAGGTCATCTCTTAGAATTTGATAGAACTGTCCGACATAAAGGACTATAATACGGTGGTCACTTCTCGAATGAGATATAGCTTGTGAGTCGATATCACTTGTTAAGTAAAAGCTCGGACCCTCAAATGACTATTGACTAGAGTATGTACTCTTTTTGGAGGATTTAGCTTCAAGTAAATTGAGTCCATCAAGTCATTAGTCGTTGTAGACTCGTTGATATCTTCCATTTTGTCAAAATTATAGAACAAACATCTATCGTTCCCCCATTTATCTCTATCAAGTTATTTCGTTCTCACAATGGTATCGTAACATCAATCGAACAGTCTCTCCCTTAGACTTGGATCCTTATTTCATTAGGAAAGAGTTGTTTAGCAGTTTTGGTAGAGGTTCAACTTTGAATATGCGCTCCTCCTTTTCTTATTATTCCTTGGAATTGACCTCCCGGGTCGACCATAATTTCCTCTTTGCAAAAGAACAAAAAGTATTAAAAGAAAAATCTTGCAAGTGTAAGTTCATATCTTGACAACGTGACTGGCTTGATATAATAGTCCTAAGTTTTCCACTTACCACTATGATTACATTACACCATAATGATGATTTATGGCCTCATTCTAAACTTTGCAAGCCCCTTTTTCGAAACGTATAGAGAGGGAACACCAAAACCCTAACAAGGACAGAAATACAGATATAAGTCCTATCGCAAAGGAATGAATAGATAGATTAGAGAAATTAGACCCTCCATAATGCCAAAATTGACTAAGAAAAAAAAGAGAGAGACGTATTATGAAAATCTGACATGATGACTTATGTACTTGGTACTTTAGTTATTCTAGCAAAAAGGACAATGATTAAATATATCGGTCTCCTTTCCCTCCCGGGTTGTCTTTTTCCTCAGCCCAACCAACTTTCAAGTTTTCTAGACGAGACCTTGCGCGGGGAAAGTTAGTTTGCGGAAACCCTAGAAAAGCGCTACGAAAGTTAGATGCGTGTCGTGATTATTTTTATGATTTCCCAACTTAAAAAAACAGCATAAGACAACATAATCATGGCGCATCAACAGTGCTTAAGCAATATTAGTATCGAAGCACTTAGGAGCCATAATCAGTCCACGTACGTCGGAAGCCAGGGGGGACACTTGTCCGGTCCAAAATGGGCCGTGGCTATCATCACGTGATGTTTGGGAGGGGGGACGTGGGGCATATCATGATGTTGAAATTTTGATAGAGAGTGGCCAAGAACAAAAATAAGTTGGGTTTTCAAGAGGAGCGTCTTAGGGCTAAGCTGGTTATGGACTCAGCATGCAAGTGCACGTCAAGCACCAGTGCAAGTTATCATTTGTTATTTAATCTTTTTGAAAGTGAAGAGAAAGAGAAGATAGATTTGTATATTGTTGTGATAGTATGTTGTCAGATCTGAATGGGGCTCTTACCGTGATTTGTTTTCCTTTTTAAATTTATACCAAAATTATCAAGTTGAGACGAGAGAGAGAGAGAGAGAGAGAGAGAGAGAGAGAGAGAGAGAGAGAGAGAGAGAGAGGCATCTATAAAGAACCCAGTTGGCAGTTGGATCTTCCCATGTAAGTTGGAAAAAATGGTTTCCTTTCTGTAGAAAAGTTGCCACAAAACAAAGACACGAGCTTTCACAAACTCTCACAAAAACAGAGAGAGAGAGAGAGAGAGAGAGAGAGAGAGAGAGAGAGAGAGAGAGAGAGAGAGAGAGAGTTGTAGCGATGGGAAGGAGTCCATGCTGCTCAAAAGACGAAGGGTTGAACAGAGGGGCTTGGACTGTTCATGAAGACAAGATACTCACAGACTACATCGGACTTCACGGAGAGGGGAAGTGGAGGAGCATTCCCAAAAAAGCAGGTAAGTCTTAATATGAGTCCTGATCTTCAGTTAAGTGTGCTATATGTTTGGCTTTTCTTTATCTCTGTAGAGTTTATGATGAAGTGGAGAAGCAGTGTTTACGGTGCTGTTGAATGATAGTGATGCGTGATTGATTGATCTTTGTTTGGGTCATCATCTTCTGTGCAGGTCTCAAGAGATGTGGGAAAAGTTGCAGGCTGAGGTGGTTGAATTACCTGAGGCCTGACATCAAGAGAGGAAACATCACCGGCGATGAAGAAGACCTCATCATTAGGCTTCACAAACTCTTGGGCAACAGGTATTCTATTCAGTCTCTTCATATTTGCCCTGCTCACTAAGTAATTTATCGGGAAGAGAAACTAGAAATTCTTTTTTTTTATTGGTAGCAGCTTGCAATCAGATATTTTATTGAAATTCGTTTCATTGGGAAGCGATTTGTAAAGCATTGTCTTGTTGTTTATACAAAATAAAGCCCATCGCCTTTCTGTCTTAATCGTTCAATTCTTTCGGCAAATGGATGTTAAAATATAGTAATTTGTCACATACGTAGATCAATTTGCACCAGAGATTTCCAGGTTCAAGTTGCCTTATCTTTTTGGCTGATGCCTTGGCGCTTAATAGATTAAGTGCTTGTTGTTTGCATATGTTCATGCATGCACGTGCATGACATCACATTATTCTCATGTATAGGACTAATTAAAGACAGCTTTTACTTGAAAATGAATAATTAATGACCAAAAAGTTTAATTATCTGTTTAGATGGTCTCTCATTGCGGGAAGACTTCCAGGGCGAACAGACAATGAAATCAAAAACTACTGGAACTCCAATTTAGCCAAGAGGGAACAAGGAGGGAAGAAGCCAAGCCCCTCCACAACTGAGATCAACCCGATAGCCACCTCCACAACAATGCGGGACGAGGCTCAGAACCTGGTGCTAGTCAGAGAGTCCACGCTCCACCATGGCGAACCGCCGGCGGCAAATGGCGAGACGGCGAAGAGCAGGCAATCGTCGGAATACGAATTGAACGACGTCTCATCACCGGCTTCCATGTGTAGGGAAGAGCCCAACTTGGAGCAGCTCATGGTGGACTGCACTGTCGGGGAGTTGGACCTCGTGGAGATTCTTGATGGTTCTGACTTTAGGCTCGATGAGTTTGAAAATACTTCTCAAGTGATAAACACAGCTAATAGTGAGGGAATGAGCAAGGACAACGATGTTGGAGGTGCTTCTCCTGGACAGGCACATAATTGGTGGAGTGAAGGATTGGTGATGGATAATTGGGTCTCCGAACTCGCCGATATGAGCTCGGGTTTGGGACCTTTCGCTTCGATCCTACACGGTGCTGAAGATTGGATCCTATAGATTAAACGCTGCTTTTTGTGAGAATAATTTTTTAAGTTTCTGCAAAAGGGAGTCTCTCAAAGTGTGCATCGATTCAATGTAGTATATGTAGCATTAATCGTTGAAATAATCTTGAGCTGTTGTCTAGTGTGGAGTGATCGCTTAGGTCATGTGGACGGTGATGTTCTTGATTATGTCCACATATAAGATTTGCTATATTCAGCATGCATCTGTAAACTATGTACTTGTAACTGGGCTTTAGTGATGATTATGACTTAACTTAAAAAAGAAATGATGTAGAATCGAAGTACTTCACGCAGAGTTGAGAAAACGACACAAATGATTCGTGAACTTTGATTTATTGTGCAATGTGATTTATGAACTTTAGTTCAATGTACAATACAGTGCCTGAACTTTAAATTTATTCAATGTGATCTCTGAGCTTTTGGTACATGTTCAAATTAGTATCTGGAATATATAAAAATGTTCAATATTGTTTCTAAACATTACACATTAGGCTAAAGTTCAGCGACTGCATTAACAAATTAAAAATTCAGAAATTACATTATATATTTAATCAAAATTCAAGAATTATTTACGTCATTTTCTCCGTGGATTTCTATCTTAGAGTTCCATCAGGATATGTTGGCGCTAGTGAATTGATGTTCTATATTCTGGTTGTGCTCATTTTCTCCTTTTTATCTGGAAACTTTCATTATTCACGTACGGGCACATTGATGTCCCTACACTTCAAGAGACAATGTTGGCCGTAAAGAGAAATCTCTGCCGACCACACACGTGGCCAGACATTTCTTGCTGTCATGAGTTTTTCCGGAAAGTTGAAAACTCATCTCAGTCATAAATTTTTTGATTAAATTAATTAAATTTTAATTTTTTTTATATTTTATCAATTAAGTTCATCTAGATAATTTTGATTGAAAATTACTAACGTGGGCATCGACCGTATCACTTAGGACTGCTAGTGGGTGGCTGGGCGCTAACATCTTTAATAATATTTTGAATTTTTTTTTATAATTTTTGTTGGTTTTTTTTCTTTCCTTTTCTTTATCTTTTTTTTTCTAGTAAGTTTTCGGAGTGAGGGATGGCGATCTCACTGGCCATAGGCAAGGGCTGGCTACTCTCACTAGCTCTAGGCAAGGGCCACGACACCCTCGTCGGCCACTAGACAATGGCTCGCGGCCCTGGTTTTTTAGGTCAACTCCGGCCATCCTACGTAGCACGACCGGCGTTCACGTCAATAATTTCTAGCCAAAATTGGCCAAATGAACTTAATTGACAAAACGTTAAAAAAAATTGGGATTTAATTGGCACAATTTCAGACAAAAAAAAATTGGAACAATTAAAAGTTTTAGGACTATATTAGCAAAAGTGCAATAGGTTTAGGACTTTTTATAATTTTTTTTGAGCTTTTCCCTTTTGAAATTTCGTCATATGTCTAGGAATTTTTATCCAGACATACTCGGTAGATGAGATAAAGTAGTTTGTGAGACATTACAGTGAAAATAGAATTAAGATGAAAAGGTTGATACAATCCAATCATCTCAACTTACGTTTAAGGAGAGAGATGAATACACAAATCACTATTTACGGAGTTATCGAGACCTTTTGCTAAATTTCATATCATTTTTACGACGATAAAGCTCGTTTTAGGTAGGCACTACGTACTATTATAGGGGCTTCACTCGAAGTATACTCGAGTTCAATCGGACTTCGTCGAAAGATTGTTATCAATTTGTATGAAGTGATTAAGACGTAACAAAAGACAACTAATAAATTGGTGTGAATTTAGGGGTTTGAGCTTGCATTTGTAGGGTGAATTGGTGTGAATTTAGGGGCGTTTTCGTCTTTCTGACATAAATTCATACTTTCACTGTGGAGCATCACAATCCCGTAACTTAACCAAGGAAAACTCCGAAATTATGTGCACTCGTATGGCTATGGTACACATTAGGAAAAATAAAAATGCAAGTGCTGGTCAAAATCTTAAATAGCAAGTTAAACAAAGCGCACGGTCTTAGGTCCATCCTAAAACTAATCAAAACGCTACTTTGGTCATCTGATCATGACACCAACATACCAAACATCAGTCGATCGCCAATATTAATTACGCGCACGGTCTAATTAATACTATTCATTGAACTTTCTTACATTTTTCTATTCTTATAGTTAATTAGGAACACAATTCTGCTCTTTGTTAAAGGCCTCATCGGTCCTGTCGTTTTCAGTATATACACATCTAACACCTTACTTTAAGAAAGGGTCTACCTTAGCTAGTAAATTTATAGCTGGTATGCTTCATTTTTTAAGTAGAAGACATTCGTTCCAATGTGCTCCGGCAGTGTACTACCGAGACAATGTTCTTCTTTTATTTTCTTTGGTCATGGCTTAGATAAAGATGTACTTATGAGCAAAAGGCCAAATTATTATACCAAATACCTGAAGTTTCAAAATCATTATTTCACACAGTAATTGGAATGTGAATGAACAGTATTTGCATCGATATAACTAGATAAACGTAATCTCAGTCGTCGATAGATACTTGGATGATAGCGATAACTATACTTCGTTTTTCTCCAAATTTATAAATTACCAATAATATAGATTAAAGTTCTACATTCATTAAGGGTCCAACATCGCCTAAATATGGAATACCAGCACACACAAACATTATTTTCTCGTGTTAATAATTTATGTGTTAGGGTTGAATTTGAGAACGTGAATAGTAGTAGAAAGGATCTATAGTTGTGGGGGTTAGAAGGAAAGTTGAACTTTCAACCAAACGAAAAGGGAAAGGCCAAAGGAGAAAAGATGGCGATGATGATCATTTTGGGTAATAGCGGTGGCTATAGCTAGGGACCATGCATTACACGTGCTCTCGAATGATCCACGATCGATAGTCTTTTTTAGAGTCCTACACATGTGCAAGAGGAAGACCCTTGAATTAGGTCAAGATTGACGGGTGGTTGAGGACAACAGCGAGCAGCGATTCGAACCCAATTCAACGCATGGATTCCAGCAAATTATGTAGTTACGAACGGCATAAATCCATCGATTTAGATGCTCTTTTTGTAAGCAATTTTAAGTTTTAAGAAAAACCCAGCTCCTAGGTCCATGCTTCAACTCGAACTTTCTTGAAGCTCACATAGCGAACGCGTGGATAAATCTAGTACATTAGTGATGGAAAAACCCTCGGTAATTAAGGCACTCTTGATTTATTTATCAATTTAAATTACCAAAACAGTTGAGCCTTTATTTATTTTTTTTAAGAAAAACGAATCGATAGCTTGAAGGAATTATTGACAAACTTGAAAAATTGATAATTTAATAAATTGACAGCTTGAATGAATTGACAAAAAGTGGAGTTGACAATTTCATATGCACCCGTAAAAAAAGTAACCATCAACGTGGTGAAATAAAGAAACCGTCAAGATAGTGGAATCAAAGAAACCATCAAGATAGTTGAGTTAATATAATTGTCGATGTAACCGTTCAATAATTGTTTATAACCTCTGTTTGTAACCTCCCTTTATATTATGGGTTAATACCACGAAAAACCCTAAACTGATACACCTGTGACAGATTTACCCCAAACTATTTTTTTTACCACAAAAAATCCCAAACTGGTACATCTGTGACAATTTTACCCCGAACTATTTTTTTGACCACCAAAAATCCAAAACTGGTACACCTGTGACAATTTTACCCCGAACTAATTTTTTAATATTATTTTTTTGAATTTTTTTTAGTTTTTCTTTTCTTTTCTCTTTCCTTTCCTTTTCTTTTTTTTTTCTTCATCTACTTTATCTTCAACCTCTGGCCGGCGAGGTCGGATTTGCCCCACCCTAGGTGAGGTTCGACCTCGCCAGTTGCCAGCGAGGGGTCGTTCTCGCCGTCGCTGGCGAGGCTCGGCCCCGCCGACAATTGGCGAGGTCAGCCTCGCCAGCGACGGCGAGGACGACCCCTCGCCGGCAACTGGCGAGGTCGAACATCACCAGGGGTGGGGCAAGGCCGACCTTGCCAGTTGCCGGTGAGGGGTCGTCCTCGCTGCTTTTGGCCGAGGCCAACCTCGCCAGTTGCCGGCGGGGCCGAGCCTCGCCAACGACGGCGAGGACGACCCCTCGCCAGCAACTGGCGAGGTTGAACCTCCCCCGAGGTGGGGCGAGGCCGACCTCGCCGGCCAGAGGTTGAAGATAAAGAAGATGAAAAAAAAAAGAAAAGAAAAACTAAAAAAAAAATCAAAAAAATAATATTAAAAAATTAGTTCATGGTAAAATTGTCACAGGTGTACCAGTTTGGGGTTTTTGGTGGTCAAAAAAATAGTTTGGGGTAAAATTGTCACAGATGTACCAGTTTGGGGTTTTTTGTGATAAAAAAAATAGTTTGGGGTAAATCTGTCACAGGTGTACCAGTTTAGGATTTTTCGTGGTATTAACCATTATATTATCTATTTGTAACATTTTATTTGTAACTTCCGTTAATAACTGTCGATTATAGGTTTTAAATAGTTATATCGCACTCTTCGGAAACCCCCACACAGAAACAAACAAACATGTTATCTTTCAATTTCTACATTGTAGTTATAATTTCTAAATTCGCGTCATCGATTAAATTTCGACATGTTGTTAACTGTAGTTTTCAGATTCGCGTTGTCAATTAAATTCCGACGTGTATCTTTGTTGGAGTTACTGGGTGCCTCATTGTCCATTAAATTTCGGTGTTTCATCTTTTTTTTTTTTAGCCTTTGTCGTCAATTAAATTCCGATACAGTTTATGTATGTTCGATTCCTTTTGAAGTGAAGTTATCGATTCCTTTGCCCACCTATGATTCCTATCCAAAATCGTCACAAAATTTCTCTTCTAATAAAAACTGAAGAACCACTTTCGATGAAAGATATTTCCTTGCGGAATCGAGTTCCAGCGGAACAATAACAAAGCCTTCTTTAAGGCCCTCAAGTTGTCCTTTCTAGCAACCATATATTGCACTTGGATGGAGCGCAACAGCAGACGGTTTCAAAACAAGTTAACTGACTTTCATATTCTTTTGGCTAAGGTTCATAAAAATGTCAGAGGTAGAGCTTCGCTCTACCAAAAAATTAGACCTTCCCAGACAAATGTTGTATTAGCTACTATATGGAGACTTCCTACCTCCATCTTTTTGAATTATTAGCACTTTTTGTATTGCTGGGGGATGCTCCTAAGCTGCTGTACTTCATCTA